TTGGACTTGACTTGGTCTTGGCCCATTTTAGACTCTGCTATGATGCAATCACAACTATTTATGGTCTTGGTCTTATCTTGGACTCAACAAAGATGATCTTGTCTACAGCCCTAGTAATTAGTGTTTAAGTGTACCAGAATTTTACAACTAATTTATATATTTATCAATGAAATGAAATAAATCCAAATAATTAATTAAATAATAATTTGAATCCTTAAAAATGTATAGCTTTGTCTTTTTGTTTGAAACAATTTAGTTTGAGTAATGTGCAAAAATAGAAGAAATCAAATACGTTTTCATGTCACTGTACCTGAGTGTGTCCAGTCTGCAGTGTGGCTCTTTCAGTTTTTCAGAGAGTAGTTTGACTCCTGTGTCTCCTGTGTTGTTACAAGTCAGATCCATTTCTTTCAGGCATGAGGGGTTTGAATTCAAAGCCGAAGCCAGACCTGAACAACATTTCTCTGTAATCAAACAACGAGACAATCTAGAGAAGAACAAAAAGAGAGGAAGAAGAGAGCCAGACAAAGTAAGGGGGTGACATTTACTTAAAAACAAGCTTTAGTGTTATACAAAAAGCACCAGATTTTATAAAATATGCATGAAAAATATAAAAAAGAACATGACAGAACCCCAATAACATGCCTGATCTAAATATAAAGAAAAATTATTCTGTAACTATTAATTAATTAAATTTATTTGTATGGCACTTTTCACAATACCAATAGCCTCACTTTAAGAAATGTTTAACAGTTCTCTAACCACTATTAATTGGTGTAGTTACTGTAGTTGTCTGATGAACCTTTGTTAAAGCCCACCCCTAAGTGTTTATTTTTCCAATTGCAGCTTAGCAACTGCAACTACTAGGAAATTTTGCTGACATTTCTTTGCAAAGAGTCATGTAATCTTTCTTTGCATTATAGTATTATCACTATAATGTGTCCACAGATCATAATTTTCTCAAGATACTTTCTGTTTGATTTAAACTAGCTACACTATTCAGTTAAATACATAGAATCTAAGATCACACTGCATGCAACATATATGTGTTGTTTAAAATTTCAGCACCCCCACTTGAAATGCCTTCCTGCATCCCTGCTGAGGCCCATAATGAGGGCTAGAGATATCTTAGGGTTTCATAGGTTCACCCCAGCCATACACTGTCTACCCCTTTGTTCACCAGCAAACAGACCTGGACATCAGACCTAGGAACAGTTTCTACCTCGAATTACTCTATCTCTTTATACCACCAATGTGTTGCCTCCTATACTCTTGCCTCCAAACTGTCTATCTAACCATCTCCTGCTCTCTGAGTATCATCAGACTCCTATACTGCTGAAGTTAAACATTTAAACATGAAAGTAGAAAAATAAACTATTAAACTATCTGGTCCATCAGCCTAAATTCAAATCTTACACACTCCTTTATTTAGAAGGTGCTGGGCAGTGAAAGGCCAATCTCCTCATTACTGGCAGAAGACTGCCCTCTACTGGCAAAGTTACATTATTTTTGGAATTGGTTTAGAACAATGGCTCGAAATGGTTCTGGAGACACAGGGGGCACTAAAGGGGGCTCCAAAAAATCCCAGAAGTTCTCAGAATCTCTACTTGGTAAGCTTTAATTTTGTCAGTTTATTACTGTTCATTTTATTAGTCCTTGAGGCATCTGTAAAAAAATGGTATATCTTTAGAAGTGGTACATGTTACAATTCACAGCCATTCCACACCCACTTAATGAGTTATCTGTAATTTTATAGGACAGGGCCGTATCTGTATGCATGATAGCAAAATGCACAGCGTTCTGGTAATCGGGACGTTGTCCTCATTCGTTAAGTGATAGTAATTTGCAAAGGAGAGGGGGCAGGAAGGCGAGAGGGGCGCACAGTGGCACTTAATATTAACAACGGGAGCCTTATACTACAAAAGTTTAAGAACTGCTGGTTTAGCCATAGTTCGGTTTGGCTTTATTAATGGTCAGGTTTCTAGATGCTTTCAAAATAGTCTTAAGCCTGTAATGGTCTTAAACTTAGTCTCATTACTCCTGCCTCTGCTTTACCAAAACAATCTTAATCTGTTACAAAACAGATTAAGTCACCACTTAAAATAGAACTCATCTAATAAACCAGATGGTCTTCAATATGAATAATTTTCCAGTTAGTATGAAGAGATATGTAACATGAAATATGAAAATATAACAATATGAAAAAATAGAGACGGTGAGTAATAAAATTATGAAAATGAGTGAAAACTGAAAATAAGTTGCTCATTATGTTAAAATCATCTGGGGGAAAAAACACCACGAATAGTTTCTGTAATTGGAAGGTATTCCAGGGTGATTTTAGAGTTATTTTAGGTGCAATAACTGATTTTTTAGTTGATGCATTTTAACAATGCAATACAACGCACGACATTGTATAGCAATGATTCTATGAATCCAAGTAATATTATATCTTATTGTTATTTATTTTTGTCCAAGTAATACAAGCTAATTGACAGTCAAATCTATTTCTTTTTTATATCGTTATCATCATTTTTCATTTAAGCCTAAAAATCCATTATGGAGAATTCACATTTCTAATGTAGCCAAGTTTCACAACGGAAATACGAAAAGTCATCAAAATGCTAACAGATGAACTGAAAAGACTGAATGTTAATGTGGCTGTACCGTTCTTTTGTTCAGAACATCGAGCACATTTTAGCCACATTACATTAGGTGTATATGTACAATTCTATTTATGTGTGTGAGAGAGTGGGAGAAAGACAGAAGGACAGGATAAAGAAAGAATATGTGTGCAGGTGCATTATTTAATGTCAGTAAAGTGGTTCCTTTTAAATGTAATGTATAAAGGTGTAGTGAAGCTCGTGTAGGGATGGAGACGGGATGGAGACGGGTTATTCTCAAGCAGCTTTTTAATGCTGGAGCCTTAAGATCTCATTGTTGATCTCTTTTTTTTTCTTAGTTCTTTTTTCAAAGCAACACAACTTCCTCGTACTTCTTACATAGTGCAACAATTCAAGAATAACGTTTTCTTAAAGTAAAATAGCAAAGAACTTTTGCTTTTCGTCATCTACGGTACAAAATAACATTAAAAGATTGAGAGTATCTGGAGAAATCTCAGTATGCAAGGGACAAGGCCAAAAATCAGTATGTGCTGGCCATGATCTTTGGGCCCTCAGGCGGCACTGCATTAATCATGTGACTTCTTAAACTAAGACAGAATGAACATTTGTGATAATAAACAAAGAATACTAATTTTCCTAAAATGCTTTAGACTCCTATACTGCTAAAGTTAAACATTTAAACATGAAAGTAGAAAAATAAACTATTAAACTATCTGGTCCATCAGCCTAAATTCAAATCTTACACACTCCTTTATTTAGAAGGTGCTGGGCAGTGAAAGGCCAGTCTCCTCATTACTGGCAGAAGACTGCCCTCTACTGGCAAAGTTACATTATTTTTGGAATTGGTTTAGAACAATGGCTCGAAATGGTTTTGGAGACACAGGGGGCACTAAAGGGGGCTCCAAAAAATCCCAGAAGTTCTCAGAATCTCTACTTGGTAAGCTTTAATTTTGTCAGTTTATTACTGTTCATTTTATTAGTCCTTGAGGCATCTGTAAAAAAATGGTATATCTTTAGAAGTGGTACATGTTACAATTCACAGCCATTCCACACCCACTTAATGAGTTATCTGTAATTTTATAGGACAGGGCCGTATCTGTATGCATGATAGCAAAATGCACAGCGTTCTGGTAATCGGGACGTTGTCCTCATTCGTTAAGCGATAGTAATTTGCAAAGGAGAGGGGGCAGGAAGGCGAGAGGGGCGCACAGTGGCACTTAATATTAACAACGGGAGCCTTATACTACAAAAGTTTAAGAACTGCTGGTTTAGCCATAGTTCGGTTTGGCTTTATTAATGGTCAGGTTTCTAGATGCTTTCAAAATAGTCTTAAGCCTGTAATGGTCTTAAACTTAGTCTCATTACTCCTGCCTCTGCTTTACCAAAACAATGTTACAAAACAGATTAAGTCACCACTTAAAATAGAACTCATCTAATAAACCAGATGGTCTTCAATATAAATAATTTTCCAGTTAGTATGAAGAGATATGTAACATGAAATATGAAAATATACTAATATGAAAAAATAGAAACAGTGAGTAATAAAATTATGAAAATGAGTGAAAACTGAAAATAAGTTGCTCATTATGTTAAAATCATCTGGGGGAAAAAACACCACGAATAGTTTCTGTAATTGGAAGGTATTCCAGGGTGATTTTAGAGTTATTTTAGGTGCAATAACTGATTTTTTAGTTGATGCATTTTAACAATGCAATACAACACACGATTTGGTGAACACTTCAAAGTTAGTCTATTAAACTGAAACATCTTACTGTAATTAGTCTGTTAAAAAGTGACATTGTAATTCTTAAAAATGAAGGTTCCAAAAGTCTTCTGAAAGTGGACAGAAAAAAATTACAGACTCTTAGATTTTTACAGTGGTGGTGATAGGAACCAGGGGTCGCCATGACAGGGGGAACACAAATATAGACATTTTATTTACTATCCAAAACCACCAGTAAACCTACACATGTCTTCTGAGCTTTATATGGAATGTTGATGATGGAAAATTGTGGACAATCTGAAATAATAAGTTTTCTTTCAGACTAGGCATCAGGCAGCATATTCATAACCATTTCATATAATAACTTTCTGTGAGGGAGCTTTTAGAGGTGGATGTCTGGTTCTTATCACCACCACTCTGAACAATTCTGACTTGGTTTCTCATAAACAGAACATTTCACATTAAATCAGCATCATTCCCCTTTAAAGTTTTATTCAGTGCCAGGATGCTGCTAGAACATACTGCTAACACTGTGGGTGGGAGGGGCCATTACGGGAAACCGTTACAGAACGGCTGAGAGGATTAGCCTGCTGGGATGGTATAAAGATCTGGACTAATCTGGCTGCATAAGCAGACTCGAAGGACAGTGGAGGACCAGAACACACTGGACAAATAAAATAGACCATAAACATTAAACTTCATTTACAGGTGCTGAGCGATATAACTGCACTGGACATTCGGACAACTTCTGTTTGGGTCAATAAAGTGACGACTTTGGGGGTGAGCACTCAATATTGGATCATATAAGAACGATACCAAAGAGGAGGAACCAACATCTTTACCAACATGACACAGAAAAAGGTATGGATTAAAGAAAAGTGAAAGAAATGAAGTTAAATCACTGTAAAAGTATAGGAAACATTGGACAGATGGACATTAGACAATAAGTAGATTTGATTTGTAGAAGTCAGTTTATGAAGAAATAAGCAATAAAATGAAATGACATAAGATTTTATTTATTTCTGTTCTCATGAAATAATTAGTAATTGTAGTCTAGAGCAGCATTTTATACCGTGTACTGTACAGGGTCTTACATGCAGGGTCTTTTCATAAGAAGATTATTATGGCTATTTGTAGTTAGTCTTATTCAGCATTGCTACTGGAGTTTTCTAAAAAAAATGCATTTGAGCATTATTAGAATTACACTGCGTTTGTTATATGATATTCATAAATTATAGCTTATGGTATAGAATATAAACAAATGCCTGATTAAATAACAGCAACTTAGTTTATAGCTTTTTCACTTTATGAACATATCAGGAATTCAAACACAAAATTCTTAAGCTAAACTTGTAGTTAAAATATTGTTGAATATTAACAGCAAAAAGTATTTTATGCACATTAATCTCAGAATTGGATTTGTTTTTTTTAATGATTATATTTTATTACCTAACACGGAGACTAACATTTAATTAGTTTTTAATTTTCAAGATATACATAGGAATAGAAGTTTTGTGCAACACTTGACTTAAAGATCACATTTTGATGCTTGAAAAGTGAATTGATTATTGATGTTCATTGCTTTTAAAATTATTTATTTATTTATTTATTTATTTAATATTATCATTGAGTTTCCAAAACAAATGAGAACCAATTTTTAAACAATTAAATTCTCATTTTTATTTACAAAAAAAAAATAAAAATAGATTTAAAGTACACAAAATAGAATATGTTTAGTATTTGGACATGTATTTTTGTTTACAGGTTGCCCCAACAGTGAGCACAGTGGCTGGAAACATGCCTCCAAGCTATGAAGAGGCAAACGCAGGTGACGACTCTCAGTCATCTCACTTCTGCTCTGAATAGCTGTTAACAAACAGTTTCCACTTAATATCTGATGTCTTTTCTGTTCTGGCTGACCTAATTTACATATTTAACTAACTGTGGGTGTAATTTAAGCATTGTGTGCAAATGATGAGACACTGATATTAGAATATTTGATGAAAAAATCATAAAAATAGAGCCGACTAAGTTCAGTTTGTTCCCTCTCGGGTTCAGGCTGTCCGAGCTACTGTTACACAGATGGTACATTTTCCTGGGAGGACAAGAACATCAGACGCGTCTTTATCAGAAAGGTATTATTTATAATTTGATGACTCAGATAAACAGATCAAGTCATAAAACTGAATGAAAATGGCAAAAGGTAAACTTGAAAGTCTCTGTCCACTGTTTCCTGAACGAGTGGCTTTGTGTTTTGTCAGGTGTATTCCATTCTGATGCTGCAGCTGCTTGTTACCATAGCGATTGTGGCTGTTTTCACGTTTTCGTAAGTAATGTTTGTTCTGGTAAGATTGAGATGTTCACTGAAATATTATAGCAATACCTTTGTTTAATAGTGAAATAGTTGAATAACATTGAAATTCATGTTAAATGTTTAAGGGTTATACATCTTATGCAAATTGTTTTGCTGATATTATAATTTGTGATAAAAAAAAAACAACTTTGTGTCGAATTACAAAAAATACAAAATACTAGCTGTCTCACTTTTAGACCCACCTGTATATAGGTCCTAAAAAAAAAAAATGTCTGCCCTATTTGCAGCCCCCGGAGTGCCCCCTCTTCCTACCTCATTGCTATGAAAAATCATAGATACCATCTCTAATTCATAACACTTATAAAGACATCTGCTGTACAGCAACTGCATAAGCCGCCTACTAACAAGTAGCTGATTGGCTGTCGGCCCATTATTATCACCTTCTTTTATTCATTTATTTTTAGCATTGTTTGATTTTCCTCCTTAAGTCCTTTATTTTTGTATATGTGACATAAGGTGACACTGCTGTTCTTCTGGTGTATATCGTCTCTTTCAGGCCACCAGTAAGGTTCTACGTTCAGACTCATCCTGGACTTTACTCTCTGTCCAAGTAAGCAGCATCACACTGCATTCCTAAAATACATTCACTGTCCACTTTAAAAGAAACATCTACACACTGGTTACTACATGAGGTCCACCTTCCTTTTAGGTCCTTTAAATGCCAGTTTATTAGCTTCACCCACCTTGTATCTACTCACTGGCCATTTTATCAGAAGCACAGGCTGAACTGGGATGTATATAAGTATTGGGAATATGTACTGCGAATACAGAAATTCAGTCCAAGTTACTTTTTGTAAAGGCCATATTCAGAATACAGTTACTTTTTACATTTTTAGGAGAATACTTTCAGAACATGTACCCACTAAATATAAAAAAAGCATGGCCTTGAACTATTTCTGAATCACTGCACAGCCTGTAGCAAACATGCTTGTTAGATGAATTCTAAAGAAAACCTTAATTGACAGGCTCCTTACAAACGTTAAAGTTCCTGCTAAAGCCTGAGTAACTGATAAATCTCTTTGATTGGTTATTAACCTCAGTGTTACTGAGCTCTGCTAAAGCCTGAGTAGACTGATAAATCAATGTGATCAGTTATTAATCTCAGTGTTACTGAGCTCTTCTGAGGGATGATCAAACTAATAATAATTTGTTAATTATTTGATAATTATTTTTAAATGATAAGTACATTTTTAATGAAACATTTTAACAAAAGATTACATTAAGTAAACTGCCAATCAATAACCGTAAGAAACAGCATGAATTAAGTAAAGAAATGTACCATGTACCTTATCAATATGCATTCTAAATGTATTCTGAATGTGTACATTTTTTACGCGTGCAAAATGGAGCTACAAGAGAGGGGTTTCTGATAAAATGGCCATACAGTACTACATGTAAAAAAGTACAAGCTAATCTATTTATTTGTTTGTTTGTTTATTTATTTATTGCAGTTTGCTATTTCTTGGAACATATTTGACGTTGTCTTGCTGCGCAGATGTAAGGTAACGTTTTTATCATAACTTCTAATATTTAACGGGCCCATATCCCACCTTTTCCTTGGCCACTTGTCACATTGGTGTGGTTTTATTTACCAAAAACAGCCATTTTTACAGTTGTTCCAGCCCCTCTTTAGCCCTGTCGGGTTTTGTTTCTGTGCCTTTAAAACTGATATATGTAAATGAGCTCTGTTCTGACTGGCTGCCCTTATATTGTGCCTCATTTATAATTTGAAACAATCCTTATGACTGCAGTGTGAGTGTGCGGGGCTGAACACCTGTAGGATGAATAGCTGGATGTATGTAAATGTGTTGTTTTTTGTGACATCACAAAAACAATGAATTCAATACAGGCTGTATTTGCAGCTTAGTTTACATATATGTACTGTATGGTCTGGGCTGTGAATGCTATGTTTTGAAATTTTAGCAATGTTGTCATGCTATTTCACTCTTTTGTTTGACAGAATTTAGTTTTCCATGATGTGAGCCATTTAAACTGTATAATTTTCCTGAATATTCCTCCAAAAACTCATCTTTGTCTCTCCATTACAGGAGGCAGTTTCCATGGAATCTGATTCTGCTAACAATCTTTGTGAGTACATGAAAATCTGTATATTTTAGTGCATTATAAAGAAATGATTTCGTCAGTTCAAATGAATAAAAATTGCTTTATGTGGCAACAAGTAGTTTACTGGTTTTATTTTAACTCAAATACTTTTAATGAAGAAATGCAAGGCAACATTTTTGTTAGATCCACTTTTTACAGATTATTGCATTTTTTTAAAATTTGCACTTGTTTTTCACTGTAATCTCTTTGGTTTGTTTTGCATGCACACTTTTCTATCATGCGGACTGAAAGACGCTGTGCATGGCCTGCATGCTGGGCTTTGTTTCCAGGTAAAGAGGTGCATCACTATAGCACTCTCTCTATAACTATGGGTACATGTTCATGTGTATTATTAGTATTATTATTAATATTATTATTCATTAACTAGAAAAGTGCATTTCCTGAAGAAAATGCAGAGTAATTTCGCAGCTTTAGTGCTCTCAGGCGGTTGGTAGGGTGTTGTTGAATGGCTACTATGGGATTTTATGGTATTTTAGGTGGTTGCTGTGGTATCTCGGGTGGTTGCTAGGATGTTGCTATGTGGTTGCTATGGTTCCCCACAGGGTTAACAGGGTGTTACTAATGTTCTTGTATCATCATGATATAAGCTGGGTGCACAAACTTTTTACCCCATTCATTTCTATGGGAAACAAAATATTCATTAAAAAAACTACTTGTACAAAAACTGCTAACTGTACATTGAATTAAAGGCTGTAAACAAGCACACCATTCCCAATCAAACCAAAGATTCTGGAGTTGGAACAGTGTCAATATCTCCAAAACTGTGGGATGAAAATCTGGCAGAGAAATAAGAAAAAGAAGCAGAAGAAGTAGAAGAGGAATATACTGTCAAATAACAACCATTTAAAAAAAGTTATTTACAGATATATAAACAGGCTCTCCATCATAGAGAAGAACTACTTAACTATGCAAAGAACCAATCAACCAGACAGTTCTTTGAGTTTTCATGCTTCTACATATAAGTGTTGTCTTTGCTAAAGAACCCTTCCTCCATATAAGGGAGGTAACGTGTGCCAGGAGACTGCTGGCGAGATCTCTTAACATACATCCTCCACTTTGTCTCCAACCACAGCTACTACAACACAAAGTCAGTGGTTCTCTGCTTGGCTATCACCGCTGTGGTGTGCCTCTGCGTCACTATCTTCAGCTTCCAGAGTTCGGTGAGTGAGTGCTGTTTACAGAGTACTGAGTGAATACTGAATGTAATTTTGCATAGCAGACACTGAGTTGACACTTTATCAGAAATGCCTACCTTATGCTTCCACTAACTGGCCACTTTTTCAGAAACACCTACTTTATGCTTTCACTAACTGGCCACTTAATTAGAAACACCTACCTTGTACTGACACTCACTGGCCACTTTATTAGAAACACCTACCTTATGCTTCCACTAACTGGACACTTTATCAGAAATGCCTAACTTGTACCTAAATTGGGGATTTTACTTAAAAGAATAACCAGACTGCCTTAAAAATCATCAGTGAACAAAACAATAATCTGCGTTCTATGCTCTATGTATCAGATGAAGTTGACTCAATATTTATTGTAAGGTATACCTGTAAGTTTGTGAAGTTAAATAAACTTCCTGGCCACTTTATCAGAAACGCCTACCTTGTACCTACACTCACTGGTCACTTTATCAGAAGCACTTACTATGTACCTACACTCACTGGCCACTTCATCAGAAACACTTACCTTATACCTACGCTCACTGCTGAACAGATATTTTTGTAGTGGACCATTTCCTGTTCATGTAGCAAAAGGTAGGCTACAATCAGAAATCATAATCCTACAAAACACACTTATGGTAGGTGTTTCTGATAAAGAGGCCAGTGAGTGTAAGAACAAGGTAGGTGTTTCTGACAAAGTGGCCAGTGAGGGTAGGTACAAGGTAGGTGTTTCTAATAAAGTGGCCAGTTAGTGAAAGCATAAAGTAGGTGTTTCTGATAAAGTGGCCAGTGAGGGTAGGTGCAAGGTAGGCGTTTCTGATAAAGTGGCCAGTGAGGGTAGGTACAAGGTAGGTGTTTCTGATAAAGTGACCAGTGACTGAGGTACAAGGTATGGTGTTTTTTCTGATAATTGGCCAGATTAGTGGTAGATACAGGGTAGGTGTTTCCGATAAAGTGGCCAGTGAAGGTAGGTACAAGGTAGGTGTTTCTGATAAAGTGGCCATGAGGTAGTACCAGTAGGTGTTTCTGATAAAGTGGCCAGTGACTGTAGGTACAAGGTAGGTGTTTCTGATAAATTGGCCAGTGAGGGTAGGCACAAGGTAGGTGTTTCTAATTAAGTGGCCAGTTAGTGAAAGCATAAAGTAGGTGTTTCTGATAAAGTGGCCAGTGAGGGTAGGTGCAAGGTAGGTGTTTCTGATAAAGTGGCCAGTGAGGGTAGGTACAAGGTAGGTGTTTCTGATAAAGTGACCAGTGACTGTAGGTACAAGGTAGGTGTTTCTGATAAAGTGGCCAGTTAGTGGTAGATACAGGGTAGGTGTTTCCGATAAAGTGGCCAGTGAAGGTAGGTACAAGGTAGGTGTTTCTGATAAAGTGGCCAGTGAGGGTAGGTACAAGGTAGGTGTTTCAGATGAAGTGACCAGTGAGGGTAGGTACAAGGTAGGTGTTTCTGATAAAGTGGCCAGTTAGTGGTAGGTGTACATGATAAACAGGAAATTCTTGTGTTTTATTCTGCCTCGAAGTTTGCTACCAAGTTTTCCCCTTTCCCACATTAAGGCTTATGCTTTAATAGTATTTAGGCATTGTATGATTCAGTACCTTTTACATAGTCATAATGTTTAGTATTCTAACATACAGTGTTAATCAGTAAGTAATTGGACAGTGGCAGTTGTTGCTAGTTTGGCTCTGCATATCAACCCGTTGGATTTGAAATGGCTAAAATGTATAAAATATCATATGATCTCCATCATTAAAAGTGAATGTATCTCCTATAACACTCTCATACTATAGTCCTTGACATATAAAACAACTGGAACTTTAGAGAAGTACTGTTATTGTATAATAACTGTAAATCTCTCTTTTTATGACTCCCTAGGTTGACATCACTTCTTTCCAGGGTGTTCTGTTCACACTTTGCATGGTCATGCTCTGCTGTGCGCTGGTCATGGGATTTGTAGTCCCGTTTGGATATGTAAGTGCCTAAAAATAAAACTAGGCCACAACAAGTAAATCCAATCAGTAGCTTTCTAGCCAAAGGAGTGAACAGATTTACTTCTCTGCTTGTAAGGCTATATTTAGGGCTACTTTAAGGCCTCTTCAACACAATTTGATTAGTGGATTTACGCTCTTGTATTGATGAACATTATTATTTTTATTACAGTCATTTTTCAGAGTAATTTACTCTGTTCTGTAGGTTCCCTGGTTACACGCAATCTACGGGGTCGTAGGAGCAATCGTCTTTACCATGGTAAGGAACAGAGAACACCTCTAGAAGGGATTATAGTACTGAATCAGCATTTATCACTTACCAGCTCATTAAAGGAGTGTGGAAGGATATTATATGGAGTTCTACTTGGAGCTGTACTTTAGCCTGTCTAGCTCTCACTGTGAGCTGTTAATCTGCTTCTAAACGCTGCTATATTACACACACCAAGAGGAGATTATAATTATGAGTAAATTCTGTACAGCTCAGAAATCACAAACACTCAGGATGAATAAGTTACTTTTATGGTATAAAACAGTCTTCAGGGTGAATCTGGAGAAACATCTGACTGACTGCTGGACAAAGTCACAAATTAGTCTGTGAACTACGGAGCCCTGCTGGTGACTTCCTGTATAAATAAAACTAATGCGTGGCCACAACATAGTAAGGCGTGGGAACGAGATAATTAAGTGCTGGCCACAACTTAGTAAGGCATGGAACCAAGATCCTAATGCGTGGCCATGCCTTACTAAGTTAATTAAACCTTGACCACAGCATAATAAGGCATGATCTTGTTCCCACACCTTACTAAGTCATGGCCATGACTTACTTATCTCATTACCACGCCTTACCATGTCCCATGCATTAGGATCTCATTCCTATGCATTAGCAGGGTGTGGCCACCCTTATTTTTATATGTATGGGATGTCACCAGCAGGACTCCATAGGCAACATGAGAACATGACCAATAGAACGTTCCACTTGAACCTGTTTAACTACATAAAATGCTACATTTTACCTCTCGCTAGTTTGTGCTGTGCTCTCCATTCAGTATCAAGTCAACAGCTTTATATTTCTTTTGTTCTTTTTTAACTAAACTGTTCAACATAATCATTACACTAACAGTTTTATGGGTTTTCATTACTAATTTATTAAAATTACTAATACAAATCTAGCAAATCTATTTCTTTTCTAATCCTCGGTTTATATTTTATTTATATGTTACTTTTGTGTCACTTACTTTTTTACACACTTAAGAAAGATGATTCTTCAAGGGTTCTTTAGCAAAAAGAAAATGATTAATCATGATTAAATGGTTGTTTGCATGGTGAAATGATTCTTCAGATTGATTGAGAATGTGTTGTATGAGATTTTATATAGTACCAATTAGGGTTCTGCTATTTTTACGTGTCAAGCTTAGATACAATAGAAATCTTTTTGGTGCTATATAGAACCATTTTCAACAAGGTTCTATATAGAACCATATACAACACATTCTACATCAATCTGCAGAACATTTCACCATGCAAACAACCATTTGAGCATGCAAATGGTTCTTTCAATGTTCATGGTTCTATATAGAACCATTGTCTTTACTATAGACCCCAAGAGGAACCCTCTTTTTCAAGGGTGTACAGTAAAGAATAAACGGCTTGGAGAAGACTAGAATCAGCCATTTCTCTGAGTCTGAACCCTTGAAGGATCATATTTTTAAGAGTGTATGAAGAGCATGTTCAATATAATGAAGTTAACTGATGTTAATTCATTACACAGGGAAGAATATTTGATTCAAGTTAATGTTAATAATTACAGATTAAGTAGAATTTGTAAAATTTGATCACTGCAGCTCAATGGACACCATTTATAATGGCTGGACTGTCTGAGGTGATCTTACTCACTACAGAAGTGTGGATCACTGAAAATTAGAAAGCAACTATAACTCACATACAAAGTTACTTAGGCTTGAATCTGTGGTGACACTTTATTTTGAGTGGTCCTTTTAGATGAAACAAACCCACAACAGACTCTCAGTAACATGTCAATAACATACAAGGGTTAGGATTAGGACCAGGATGAGGGTTAGGATTAGGTTATGGGTTGAGGTTAAGGTTAGGGTTAGGATTGGGGCCAGGGCGAGGGTTAGGATTAAGTTTTGGGTTTAGGTTAAGGTTAGGACTAGGGCCAGGGTTAGTATTAGGGCCAGGGTTAGGGTTAGGTTTTGCATAATGGAAGTAACAAATTAACAATACATCTACTTAATGTAAGTAATGTATCAACAGAACATCTACAAGATATTTACTTCAGTGTATTCAGATGCTTCACTACTGCTACTTCACTGATGTGTTGTTGATGTGTTACTGATAATCTGTTTTTAGAGTTTATTCATCATCACTCCAAATAAAGTGATACCAACCTGTTACATAACTTTATTTAATTCTTCAAGGTACTAAATTTGCATTACCTTTATGTAAAGTGGAGTAATTTAAGTTTACAGTATGCGGGAAAATGTGAAACAGTTACTGTTCATGCTGTGATACAGATGTGACAGACAGAACGCTGGAATATTCCACTTCTTTTGGCCTTCTTCACCTGCTGTACTTCTCCTTTGCTCTCTCTCTCCACAGTTTCTGGCGTTTGACACTCAGCTGCTGATGGGGAATAAGTCGTACGCTATGAGCCCTGAGGAGTACATATTCGCTACTCTGAGTCTCTACCTGGACATCATCTACCTCTTCACCTTCCTGCTACAGCTTTTTGGCGAAGGAAGGGATTAATTCATCTTCTATCCCTTCAACTTTACACTTACTAAACCAACATTCACCATTCTGCACTCACAGTGTACACTCTTAAAAAGATGGTGCCTCAAGGGGTCTTTAGTAAAGAAAATGGATCTATATAGAACCATGAACACTTAAAGAACCCTTTGCATCATGAAAGGGTTCTTTGCATCATGAAAGCGTTCGTTGAATCGATGGAAAATGTGCTGTAGATGGTTCTATATAGAAACTTTTTGAAAAGGTTTCTTCTATTGTTACAAGCTTGACACCGTAACAGTAGAAGAACTGTTTTGGGTGATACATAAAATCATTTTCAAAAAGAACCATCTACAGCACATTCTCCAACAATCCTAAGAACGCTTTAATGATGCAAAGAACACTTTAATCATGCTAAGGGTTCTTTAAGTGTTTGTGGTTCTATACAGAATCATTTTCTTTACTAAAGAACCATTGAAGCACCGTCTTTTTTAAAAGTGTAGGTACAGCACTGTACAAAACTCAGAGACCAACTTCATTTATTTACTTTCCAGTCAACACAGCCATTCAGTACAAGTCGTTGATTTTCAGGAGGTATTTTGCTGTTGTTGAAAGAAAACCTCATATCTCCAAAATGGTAACTTTACAGGAGAAGGGAAAAACACACTTTACTTTTTATGTAAGTCAATGGAACCAGATGTTTTTCCTAGTCATTTTAGGCCATTCCTTTTGTTCCATTCATCATGAAATTTACATACAATGTAAAGGGCAACAAGCATTTTCAAATTATGTCAAAAACTGAAAAATGACAAAAATGAGAAGACAACTCAGCTCTATGGGTCTGAAAGGATGTGTAGCTGTCAAGAAGCCTCACTCAGAAAAGGAGACGAACACATCAAACAAATAAGCTGAACAATGGACTGACCACCCCAGAGTCCAGACCTCAACATCCCTGAATGTGTTTGATTACTTCAGAAAATGATCAACCAACTTCTAAGACTGAACTTTGGAGGTGTGTCTGCAGATTTCTTTCAGAAACTGACAGTGAGCCTCCTGGAAAGAATGGAAGCTGGAATAAAGGGAGTTACACTGAACTGGTTGGAAATGAAATAGACTGACTTTTGCACAGTACTGTCAGCGACATGTTGGGAGGAACGTAATGTTCACAATCCTTTCAGCTAAAAGACTCAGCGAATGGCATCTACTTTGTGATTCACACCCAACAAAGACTGTAAATCTTACCAGGTACGCAACATCCAGGCCTCAGAGTCACTCAGTAGACTGTCCATTTCCCAGCACAAGGGATGTCGAATGCTGTCCATACTTTTGGTTGACCTCTCTCTGGGGTGGAAGGACATCAGTATTCCAGTCTTTTGAAGCACTGGAGTGGCCAATCTAGACCTCTACTAGTCACTTGCTGAATTTCTTGCTTTTTGAAGCACATCAGTGGAGGGCGGGACAAGTCTGGCATCACTGTCATGTGTTTTTATTTTGTTTATTCTTTTTTTTTTACTAGAGTACTCAGACTGTTTTAGCTCAAAATATTAAGCAATACTTTATTTTAAGACCACCTACACAGGGACTTTATAACACATGCATAAGCATTGAATTACACATTTAAAAATTTAATTGATTTTATTCAGTAATTGTGAACAGCTTGTGTCAGTATTCACAAGATGAAGTCATATTTTATGAAGTAAATTAAATTATATCGAAATAGGAACCCCTGAATTAAATAAACCCCTGATATATAGCACTTTTATGAAATATGTAATGGAACTCAAACGTCTAGCTAAAAACACTAAGCAGCAGTTTATGAAAGATTTTGATAGTAGACATATGCTTGGAAACATTTACACACTTAAAAAGTTTCTTTAAGGGTTCTTTAGTGAAGAAGATTGTTCTATATAGAACCATAAGCACTCAAAGAACCCTTTTTTATGATTAAGCGGTTCTTTGCATCATGAAATTCTTCAGAATGATGGGGAATGTGCTTTAGATGATTCTATATAGCACCAAAAAAGGGTTCTTCTACTGTTACAAGCTTGGAATTGACAACAATAGAAGAACCCTTTTTGGTGCTATATAGAATCCTTTTCAAAAAGATCCTGCATCAATCTGAAGAAACCTGTCATGATGCAAAGAACACTTTAATCATGAAAAGGGTTCTTTGAGTGTTCATTGTTCTATATAGAACCATTTTCTTTACTAAAGAACCCTTGAAGAACCATTTTTTAAGAGTGTATTGAACCGTCTAAAGTAAATGTGCTGTCATTATATATATATATATATATATATATATATATATATATATAAAAGACCTTATGAAGGTTACTGTATTTCAATGAAGCAAGAGATCTGATCCCCCTGCTGTTCTGTATGTAGTTCAGCTCTCATCAGGTGGAAATGTAGCTGTTAATGTAATATTAATGGTTCTTGCAAGTGGCCTTTTATCTTAGCTTCTTGATCAACTTTGTTCATTTTAGGCACTGTTGTTTAGATGTTTACAATTTTAAAAATGGTTTCTAATCGAGAATAAAGTAAATAAACAATGACTTGTTCTCTCTTACAAAGCATGATTCCGTATGAAACTGAAAATGGTTCTAGACGACTTTATCTATGGCCCCGAAAAGTTGGAGATGGAACCATATTATATGGTTCTTCTCAAAAAAGCCCAGTGGTTCAGTCAAACTGATATAAATTGTTCCATATTGAACTTAAACAGTTCAATTACTTAACGTTTATTATTATTAATTATTGTAGGAGGAAGATGATGTAGAGTAGTAATAATACTACAATCAACAGTAATAAGAAGAACCATACAGAACCATTTATATCTGTTTGACTGAACTGCTGGGGTAATACACAACATACTGAAGTGAATGACTGTTTATCATCCAACATTTAATAAAGTCAAGCTGAAGAACATTTTAGACAGTGAAGAGTTCAATTCCTAAATTATTAAACCCTAGAATCAACTCTAGGGTTCTATACAGAACCATCTGTTTAAGTGTGTGTTCCATGATGTGGCCGAATGCAAAAACACCCCTGATCAAATTACATGGTGTGTTGATTTTTTTTAAGTGAAAGTACGCTCTTAAAAATGGTTCTTTAAGAGTTCTTTAGTAAAGACAATGGTTCTATACAGAACCATAAACACTCAAAGAACTATTTGCATGCTTTAATGGTGCCTTGCTGGGTGAAATCGTTCTTCAGATTGATGGCGAGTGTGTTGTATATGGTTATAGAATTCTTTGTGCTATTGTTATGATGTTAAGCTGGAACCCTTTTTGGAGCTATCTAGAACAATTTCAAAAGGGTTCCATAGAACCCTGTACAACACATCCTTAATCAATCTGAAGAACTATTTCACCATGCAGAGAACCATTTCTGCAAATAGTTCTTTGAGTGTTCATGGTTTTACAGAACCACTGTCTTTACTAAAGAACCCTTGAAGAACTTAATGCATCCTCTACAGAGAACACACTTCTAGAAATTTTAGTGCACAACTTCAGTTTATTTGCAGAGTTTAACATATTTGGGAAAACAAAAACTTGAAATAAAAATGTTCCACAACTTTTGCACAACCTACAGGTTCTCTTTTCTTCACACTGTGTTGTAATTCCATAAACAATAACTGTGTATTAAAATGTGCAGTACTGTGTTCTCTGTAGAGGATGTGTTCTTATTTACACTCAGAAAATCAACAACGTAGAATTTAACCGCTTTTACATGGTGACACATAAAAGACACACATTTTACAACGATTAAAAACATTTTTTATTAAAAAAAGAGAAAAAAAATCAACAGAGTGAACTTCAAAAAAGAGTAAAACCAAGAAAGAAGATCTTTTTTTTTTCCTCCAACAAATAAAAAACAGAGTAACAGAAAAATCAGCAACTGTGGCACAGGAAGACAAACTCACCGGCTAGCTACACCGGCTAACATCCTAACAAAAAAAAACCAAGATATCAAAACTCCTGAAACTCCTCTGCTTCTGCTCACTGTACAAAATGAGTTATTTTATAAATAAGGAACATTTTAAAAAGCAGTTCAAGAGACAAGCCAAGCGTTTGTTCAGCTGTGGGACTGACCGGCGAGTCAAACCTGGCGAATTCGGAGTTCATGGACGGCTGTCGAGGCTAGGGAAAGCTTTTCATCTCCCAACCCAATACAACTAAGTTGAAGAGACTCGAGTTTTTACGCTATGAAAATATATCAATTAGAGATTTCACAGAAATTGCATATTCGTATACATAAACAAAACATCATGTTAGAGTTGCATATTAATACTAACATGTTCTCGTCATACTATTGCTTTAGCTAGTTTTAATATGGAAATGACTCCTACGATCAAAAAACAAATGCAAAAATCTCCAGGCCACTACATCCTCTACTTTACAGGGCAAGTAACTTAAGGCATGTTGTATTTTACACGCACACGTCTATGTACAGTATACCTCACTAACCAGCGAGGTAATAGTACGCTAGTACATACAGTTTAGACTATAAACACATATACTTTATAGTCTTGAGGCATATACATTTACCCTTCTTAGTTCTTCGAGGCACATTTTCAAACTCTGAATTCTGCAGGTTTGAATTCTGCCACGATTTCAGTCAGGTGTTAGCACAGTTAGCATGGCTGTCGTCTACTGAACCGCTCGAACATCCCATTATAGCAGCCTAACGTTTTGAAACTATGAAATGAGCTGTACAAGGCAACAACAAGAACGCATGTTGATGCTTTTTCTATAAAAAGAGAAAAACGTCCTATTAATAATACATGAACAAGCTAATGGAAAATCCCACCTGCTGCTTTTCAAAGTTTCTTCATAATTAAGCGGTTAAGATGTAAACGGAGTCATTCAGAGTGGTTTGGTGTGAAACGCTCCGTTCTCAGAACTGTTCACAGCGGTGGTGATAGGAACCAGACGTCCACCTCTAAAAGCTCCCTCACAGAAAGTTATTACATGAAATGGTTATGAATACACTGGCTGACGCATTTTATGATAGCTTTAAGAAGGTTTTGGTCTAAAACACACATTTTTCTTAATCCATTCATGATGGAGGGACACATGTAGGTCATTATAAGGCAAAAAAGCTTGTTTAGGTTCACTGGTGGTTTTGGATAGTAATAATTTGTTATTCTTTGTCTATAATTGTGTTATACTTTGTTAAAAAAGATGGTTCTTTAGTAAAGACAGTTGAACACTTTGAACGCTTAAATGCTTCTGTGCATGGTGAAATCGTTCTTCAGATTGAAGGAGAATGTGTTGTATATGGTTCTATACAGAACCTTTTTTGAAAATGGTTCTATATAGCACCAAAAAGGGCTCTTCTGTTGTTATGATGTCAAGCTTGTACACAATAGCAGGACTCTTTTTGGTGCGAAGAACCATTTAAGCGTTTCAGCAGGGAAGAAATTTGAATCTCATCAATAACATTTCACACCAAGCCACTCTGAATGTCTCTGTTTACATCTCAAACACTGATTTATGCAGAAATTTAGAAATTTTGGTGGACTTCCCCTTACAGTCTAACCATACTAAGAGTTAATCGTCTGTATTGGCTCAGGGTGGGTCCTGACTCATTCAGTAACACAGTTCATGATTAAAATCCATATCCTGCAGCACAGAAGACAAATGCTGGCATCGTTACGAAGCCATAAGAGGCTAACGACAAGAACAAGAGTCTAGAACCTAAGATGTACTCAAAACAGACAGAGAACCGAACATAAGATCTTGTCTTGCCTCTTCCGTCTGTGCAAATCTGACCTACACCCGACAAATCTCATCATTTTAAATATTAGCTATAATCTCAGATAATTTACACATTTCAATATCTCATCCGACAGTGGAAAAAATAAATAAAAACAAGTTTAAAAACATGATCTGAAAACAACACTGTAGTGTAACAACCTGTCATTTCATAGTTTCAAAACTATATTTCATGTTTTTGGATTGGTAGTGATGTCTGATACGTTTCCATCAGCTTTTATATTGCATGATAAAAACCCATATTCTTTCCTTCATGAGGTGAACTGCATGTTTTAACCTGTGAAATATGTTTCATATAGTATCTACACAGAATATAAACAATTACATCACACTGACAAAAGAAAAAAAGAGTGAAAGATGGAGAGAAGAAGAGAAAAGAACAGAACCACTGATCAGGAACCAGCTTCCAAACAAAAAGAATCATAGTGTTAAGGCCGACTTTTGCCAAAAGCATTACAAACCATACTTATCATACAATGATCTCTGAGGACTCCTATCATTGGAAATGAATTAAAGAGGAAATCCACCCATTTTTCAAAGTTTCGGCAAAATTAAATGGCTAAGATGTAAGCAAGTCCTTCAGAGTGGTTTGGTGTGAAATGCTCTGTTATACACTCTTGAAAAGATGATTCTTTAGTAAAGAAAATGGTTCTATGTAAAACCATCAACACTCAAAGGTTGAAAGTGTTCTTTAGAATGTACTGTAGATCGTTCTATACAGAACTTTTTTGAAAGGATTCTATATGGCATCCATAGAAGAACCCTTTTGGGTGCTATATAGAACCCTTTTCAAAAAGGTTCTATACAGAACCGTATAAAACACATTCTAAAGAATCCTTTAATCATGCTAATGGTTCTTCGAGTGTTCACACTATTTTCTTCACTGTAGAGGTGTAGAGTGTAGAGTCAGAATTGTTCACAGTGGTGGTGATAGGAACCAGACGTCCACCTCTAAATCCACCTCATTATGAATACACTGCCTGATGTCTGAGATGATAGTATTTGATAAAGTTTTGGTTCAAAACATTTTATTTTTAATCCATTCATGGTGAAAACACACATGCAAGGACATAACAGTCCCAAAATAACTTACTATTTCAGATTTTCCAATATTTTATCATCATTAACATTCCATATAAAACTCAGAAACACGTGTAAGTTCACTGGTGGTTTTGGAAAGTAAATAAAATGTCTATATTTGTGTTGTAGTCATGGCAACCCCTGGTTCCTATCACCACCACTGTAAAGACATCTGAACTATTTCACACCAAACCACTCTGAATGACTTTCACATCTCAACCACTGAATTATGCGGAAATTTAAAAATACCCCTTTACAACCATCATCTACTTGACTTAATAAGTTTCCCTGCTCTCTTTAAAACAGATGTGTGCCTGAATCGACATATTGCTTTCTAGCGGATGGCTTCATCGTCTTTGGTAACAGATGTAAATAAAACGTATGTGGTACTGAGTCCAGTCTTAAAAATAAAGGCTCCAAAAAGGGTTCTTTGGAGGCATGCCATACAAGAACTCCCCCAAGAACCTTTCAATGGATGGTTCTTTAAAGAAAATGAGATGTAACTATGTACAGTTATACACCTATTAAAAGTTTTTTCCTTGAACTGTACGTCGAAGCTGAGAACCGTTCAGGAACCTTTAGTTTTAAGAGCGTAAGAAATAAAAATTTACATACAACCTCTGACTTGAGTGTTATTTTCATTCTAAAAACTTCGTTCTACTATGATCTTCACTCTCAACAAGTTACAAATCAGCTAAAGGCTTGCCACTGCTGTTACAGATGAATGTTGACCATTACATTTTGCTTACAAAATGGTTTAAATCAGCTTTTGGAAGCAGGTGGTTGGCATTTACATTCACATACGGTAACACAAAGGCAAAGCTCTTACTGTTACTTCGAAGACACTGACGCTGAAGAAATATATCGTGGCCCTTAGTGTTTATAGAGTAAGCCCTTGGATCATGTTCAGATGTCATTATGAACGGAGTATGAAATGTAATACTTGAATTTGGGGAAAATGATTAACGTAGCTACTACTGAAAAGTCAGACTCCACCCATCACTTATTTCATTTCCAGTCAAAACAGCCATTGAGAGCAGGTTATGTATTTTCAGGAGATGTTTCTGAGGAGATTTTATACAAGATAATCACTTGTATAAGGAAGGAGAAAGTCCTTTTCAAAACTAGAGTTCAAAATGCAATTGAAAGTTACAGAGAAAATGTGCCTCCTAACAACCACCTGGAAGACCTGGTAGACACCAAAACTGCCCCATCAGATAAACAGCACTTAAAGCTTCCATCTTTGAGGGAGAGGAGAAAATCAAGCTGCTTCAGATCTGAAAACATCCACAGGTGTTTCTGTCCATCCTTCCACTGTGAGAAGACAACTCAGCGCTATGGGTCTGAAAGAAGCTGAACAATGGACTGACCATCCCAGAGTCCAGACCTCAACATCACTGAATGTGTTTGATTACTTCAGAAAATGATCAACCAACTTCTAAGACTGAACTGCCTCTTTCATCTCTTTCACACTTAAAAAAAAAAATGGTACATCAAGAGTTCTTTAAGGACATGGTTATAGATGGCATAGACGGTTCTATATAGAACCTTTTTGAAAAGGGTTCTATATAGCACCCAAAAGGGTTCTTCTATTACAACGTCAAGCTTGTAAAAATCTAAGAAGCTTTTCGGGTGCTACATCTTCAGATTGATGGAGAATGTGCTGTAGATGGTTCTATATATAGCACCAAAAAGGTTCTTCTGTTATTACGAACTCTTAAAAAAGATGGTTCTTTAAGGTTTCTTTAGTAAAGACAGTGGTTCTATATAACCATAAACACTCATGCTTAAATGGTTCTCTGCATGGTGAAATGATTCTTCAGATTGATAGAGGATGTGTTGTACATGGTTCTATATAGAACCCTTTTGAAATGGTTCTAGATAGCTCCAAAAGGATTCAAGCTTGACATCATAACAATAGCAGAACTCTTTTTGGTGTTATACAGAACCATTTTCTTTACTAAAGAACTCTAGAAGAACCTTAAGAAGAATCATTTTTAAGTGTGTGGTTGGTAGAGTATTATGAGCTTCTCTACCATCGCAATGTTTGTTGTTGTCAGAAACTTTCGACTCTGGACTGCCCTCTAGTGGACGTATTGCTTAACATCCAGATCAATGCATGAAAGTATGTGGGCAGTGACGGCTACACTGTTTGAAACAAACGTATTCATTTTCTTACATAACTGCTGATTTCCGAAAAAAAACAGAAGCTGTAATAAAGGTAAAGAGTGACACACTGAACACTCAAACAGCTGAGATTAGATCTTCTGTTTGTTTTTTTGTTTTATGCTTCTGTTGATGCTGACAAATGAATACCTGGTATGTTAATAGACCTTTTTAACTGGAAATGCAACAAATGAAGGGTAGTTTCTTGCTTTTGCACAGTTCTGCAGGTCAAATAGAATTTAAAAAGGTAAACGGAAAACGGGAGTAAGTGAACCGAAGTTTCTGGGTGGCATAAATCATGCAAATGCAACCACGAATCCTATGAATTCAGGGGAAAAAAAGAAGTAACACTGCCCTTGCAGTTCCTTTTCTATATCTAGAAGATCCTTATTATCTATTAGAAATAGAGAGAATAAAACTCAATGAAAGTTCTGCCCGAAAAATATGACGTTACAGCTAAAAGTGGAAGAGAAAAGAAAAACTAGACTTGATAAAAATCACCAAAAGACAGGACAAAAATGCAGAAGAAACAGCAGCACTGCAGGAAAAAAGAAAACAACTAAAAAACACTCCCATCCTTTCACATCCTCTCAACAGCAACGTTTTGAAGGATCTCTAAATCTGATTTTTTCTTTTAATGAATGAACCCAGCACCAAAATCTTAAACATACTTTTTCTCTAATGTACACAGGTAGCATCACCTGAGGAGGCTGTTTTAGCCTCGTGCACACTCTAACATCGCGATAAGCCTGAGCCAACTCAAACAAGCGCCTCAAACAGTCATCACACGCAGTTCATTATAACACTATGATGGTGCTAGACAGGTGATGCGAAGGCCTCGTCATAACATTATCAGAACCTTTTAGAAGATATTTGGGGCGACTATTCAACTAACACCACTTAAAGTCACTTCTTCACAAATGGCCAGTCAAACTAATTCAAGCAAAAATCACAGTGCAAGTGGAAAAAGGAAGTAATCTATTAGCAGAAGGAGCTCATTAGACTTTTCTCTAAAATGATACACTCATGTAAATGCGAGACTTATTTGTGCAATCTTGCACACCAAGCAAGATTATTCAGTGAAAATGATACATTATCTTACTTGCGCTCTGTTCGATCATCGCAGAATCTCCAAAAGCAAAGAGCTACAAACATCACTAAATGTGGAAGCACTCATCAGCTTCTGAATAAAGACATGGTTTTCACTTTAACAAAACGGACAGCAGTTCAGTGTGACCGTTTGTCCGCTCTGTGAGCAACGAAGGATCTTATTTGCACTTCAAGACATCTTGTGTGGAGGAGCATCTCCAAAATCAGCTGAGCTGTGAGTGAAAGGGCTCAGAAAGTTTCACCTCCCGAACAAGGTGGAGAAACTGTCTGCTCTCCATGCTAGGAGTGGCAAAAACCCCAAAAATCCATCCGCATCCACAAGACATGTGCAAAGTAGATCTCAGTGCAAAGACATTCCCGGGCACGCCGTTTTAAGAGAAGATTAAAAAGCCTTTATTAAAACATGGCAATATGTATTAAAATGTGCCGACGTGCTGTGGCCTCACATCAGGACACATTTCTATTGATATCGATTGATGATTCTTAGATGGTGAACCTGGGAATTTCTTTGCTCTGGGATTTACTTTCCTCTTGAGATTACTTCAGAAAATGATAAACCAATTTCTAAAGACTCATTTATGCTCAATGTTAAACATGGATACAAGTAAGGACGGAGCCCTTTGTCTGTACTTTGCAGTCATTTTGTCTGTATTTGTACACGTTCTCCGAATGCTTACAGATACAGACGAAACGGGGCAGAACAATCAATGCAGCCAATACTTCACGTGAAACACAATGTCAGTTTCTCTCACTGGTAAATTAATTAAAAGAAATTCTCTGTCCACATGTCGCAAAGTATTAAATGGGCCCACAGACCGCCACCGCCTACAACACCGCCTCTTTCGTCTTTTTCATGCCTTGTGGATGCGGATGGATTTTTTGGTTTTTGCCACTTCCAATATGCAAATGTTACTTGGAGTCTGCTGCCCCAGGAGCACGTCTTTTTGCTTCATTTTTGTGACGTCTGCAGTGCTTTTTCATTTTTGTTTTTCACTGTCTGCTCTCCTTTCGCTTTTCCAAAGTTGAAAGCATCCTGCACCGCACCACAGCCTGCATGTTTCATGATGTTTTTGATAGATTTTTCTAGCAAGAACACAGTGAAATCATTTTAAAAACCTGTCCGTGTCTATAGTTCTGATGTGGAAAGGTCTGAATATCTCACATTTGCATGCCATTTGTGTTCAGTGTGGAACGGCCTTAAGGCTGATTTATACTTCTGTGAAGAAGTCCTGGGGAAAATACTCTGGGGAGAACACACCCTAAGCCCTGCAGCACTTTGGTGACATCAACAGTGTGCAGATATACACCCCGTAGAGGTCATTACACCAACAGAATGAAAATCGATTCGATAGGTTAAGGCCCAAACCCATTTCTTATTTTTACCCCTACCCGAGGGGTTTTCGAGGGTCACCCTGTCCCTTAGAACTGAGTTATAAGGGGTAGTGGTTGAAATCTTCCCCTATAAAATGTGACAACCCTCAAATAAAAAAGAACATTACTTCATTAACAGACTACTAGCGGTGCTCTGTAGGCGACCCTGCCTGTCTGCAGTGATAGCAGAGGAGGGTAAAGCTCAGCTACCTCCCTGCTGGGCTTTACTTACATTTAGGGAATCATATTCCTTCAAAGAGGGGGATACGACAATTATTTATTACTACCCATTACTACCCACCCCTAATGATTCAGTGATACGAAGCTGAAGTCAGCTATTCGCCAGCTTCTTGTTCAAATTTTCCCGCTCCACCTTAAACAGAGCAGCAGTTACATTCTGGCGCTTCAGGCGACAGAACCGCTGGACTATTTAAGGCGGAACGGGAAATTTAGCTAGCTGGCTACTGAGACGTTAGCATACTATTAGCGTTTTTTTATGCTTGTTATGAAGATATATACATTGAATAATACACTGGTTATCGTAACTTTTTAATGGAAAAAAAATCTCACATATGTGCGTTTCTTTGGTCACTTGCGCAGCCAACTTGCTGTTTTTTTTTCTCTTAACACTTTGTTTGGAGTGCGTCTCTGAAAAACCTCCTAACACTTCCTAGCCCTACCCCTAGGCGTGAACCTGCAAAATCAAGGGATAGATCTAAGTGGTAGGGGTGAGGGGTGAAATGGGATTGGGCCTTAGTGTCATAACTAAATAGAATATTGCTTCTCTGTAACTCTGTTATCAGATGAACTAAGACTCTCTGTGTTAACTGTTGAGCTGCTAGCGAGCAATGAGGGGTGAAAGGGGAGGGGTGAGAACCCCTGCTGTGAAAAACAATTCACACCTCTCCACAAGGATGGCTGTGCCGACTTGCAGGTGGGATGAGTGCTTAAATAAACAATGCTTAACCTGAACCAGAACCTGCACAAAAAACAGAACGGAGCAGTTTGAGGACCTAGGAGCTCAAATGACTCATAATCTTAGAGTAAAAAGCTCAATTCTACTGTAGCACATCAAATACTTTGCTGCTTGTATTCATTCTTTACACTCCCACTTCTTCACCATTCAATTTCTGTGCATTCTGGTTTGGACACTGTGCACAATGCCTGCAGACTTTTTCAGAAGCAGAAATATAATTCAGCCTTTACTCACAAACTTACCAACCCTACTGACAAGTGATTATGACTAGAATATATGTGACATGAGCTAAAGCGAAATATATGTAACTAGTGATGATATACTCAATGCAATTTTTTACATTAATTTAGTCAGCCTATATTTTATATTTCTGTACACAGAAATGTCAACATTTTCTATTGAAATGTTAACAATTCTAGATATAGAAATATTACATTTTTCTATAAATTGAGCTCACATCAGACTTTTTCCTCCACTTTTTGGCGAACAGATATCCTGAAGATTCGGTGCCCACAGTTCTCGCCTTCTCAGAACGTTTCGGTAAATTTAAGCAATTCTACATCACTATGTACTAAAACAGACCAAATTCCAACAAATAAATAATAAAATTATGATTGTCGGTTGCATTTTTTTAAAAAAGAGAATAAATAAAATGTAGATACTAGACTTACAGTAAGATATAATCTCATTTTTTCCTTATTTTTTTTTCCGATGGCGTGAGATGAAGAAGTGGCTTTAAAAGGTTTACTCCTAACACGTGGCTAAACACATCAAATCCAAAATTACGACAAATAAAACTCACTGATCGAATCTGAATCTGTACAAAAAAATCTTACTGCTGCTGATTGAAAAAAAAGAATAAAAATAGAAAAAATGCTTGCATATTTTACAAAACAAACAAAAGAAAGAGAGAAAATAATAAAAGACACACTGTGTTGGAACTTTCTCTTTGCTCAGCTCCGCCGCTACTCCAGAAATATTTCTTAAAAAATAAGAATTTGCTGTTACGTGCACAAAGATAACACACTGTGTCTCTCTTTTACCCTTTTATGAATTATCATTGTTGTTTTTAGTTTTTTTTTCTGTTTTGTTATCAAAATAAATCAAAGCTCCTTCTCTAAAATCCCCCACCTTTGGTTGAGCGACTCTTGAAGAGCCAAGCGAAAGATGAGTGATGTCCTTTTTTAAATCTTTCTATTCTACAAAAAAAAGACACGTGTTCCTTTTGTTATCCGTGTATGTCTCTGGTACTGCTCGTCAGTGGAAACTGCACATCTCCCGGTGAGATTTCTGTCGTCCACGGCAACAAGTACCAATCACTCCACATCCTGGAAGAAAAGAGGACACGTTTTGTGATGCTTTTATGACTCCTTCTGGACGATTAGATCAGACATTTGCACATTTAAAACTGAAAAACTGGACTGAACAGTTGATGACAGATACACAGGTGACAAAACCAGACAGTTGCGCTGCATAATACAGGTAAAGAGTCTATATCCTGCATTATTCCTGTATTTTATTGTTTTCTTGTTTACCTACTAATAATTCTACCAAATCAGTTCAAAGTCAGAGCTGAAACACATTTGGGACTTTTAACTCATCTTGGACTTGGACTAAAATCCTTTTGCTTTGAGTGACCCTATACTTTAATTATGTTTATTTTATTAAATTATTAAATGCTCCAATTTGTCACTACCAAAACAATCATAACACTACCCAAACTTTACCAAATGTTTCGGTAGTGACTGTTTTGGTAGTGATAATTTTAGCTAATTTCGAGCAGAACTCAAACAGCTGTACACACATAAAATCATCATTTTTTATTAAAACACAAAAAGTTGAAAATCTGTGTTTCGGTAGTGACAATTCTTAATGTTCCACACTGATTTGCAGACTTTGGGACACATTTACATCAAAACAATGGGATCTAACAGCTCACCGTGTGGCCATGAGGGACAGGGATGCAGCCTCACTTCCTGCTCTAAAATGCAGGGGCTAAAATAAGGCTCCGTCTACAGACTAAAACTGTGTGTTTCGGTAATGACATGAAAATGTGGGATTGAATTTTTTAAATAAAGTTTTTTTTTTTTTTTTTTGAAGTGTAAGTTTAGGGGTTGGGACAGACGCCTCCCAATAGAATGTACTCTATAAATGATGGTTTTGTGTATATTTAGCTTATTACTATCTCTATTAATGGCTTGGGTTTAAATAAATCATAACATAATCCTTGTAAAGGTCTGAATCCTTCACTGTTTTTATTTATTGATTTATTTATTTATTCAGTGGGAGCGCAGTTTGAAGAAATGGTCCATATATACACATATATACATCTCTTTTTTCTTACCTTAGCTTCATTTGCTATGCTGGTAGGAGTAATTTGTGTGTTCTGCAGGTGTATCCATGGAAACCTGTTGTTGTTGTCCACTGTTTTCCTGCAATTGAACGCAGAGTATTTAGCCCAATGAAATAAAGAATGAAGATCAGTACAGGAGGCTGTCTGAGACGCATATCTTACCTCTACTGTGACACTAGAGGGAGGCACTGGGGTGTACTGTGGGATGTAAGTCCCTTGCATAGTTGTGTTTGCAGGCATGTACTGTGGACAGCAAACAAAGGAGATTTTCTCACTATTTATTCCTCAGTATACACACTTAAAAAGATGGTTCTTAAAGGGTTCATTAGTAAAGGCAATGGTTCTATTTAGAACCATGAGTTCTATATAGAACCATTTCATGCTTAAATGGTTCTTTGATGGTGAAATGGTTCCTCAGATTAATGGAGAACATGTTGTATATGGTTCTATATAGCACAAAAAACATCACTACAAGCCTGATGTTCTAAGTGTAAATAAGTTAACATGTCCTCATCAGAGCCCACATCTGCACACTGTAATACAGAATTCAGTAAATGTTTCCTTACTGAACTGAACATAACTGTGCAAAGGTTATAGCACATTTTAGATTTCATGTTTCATTTGTTTTTAACATGTTAAACACAGATAATGAAAACTGTGCAAAACAATATGCAGAAAAATCTCATATTTCGGTGTGTTCTCTATAGAGGATGTGTTAACTTACTTACACACAGAAATTAAACAAAGCATGTAATTTGACTGGTGGTGTTCAAATCTTTGCACAGGACTTGTCTGTGGTAAACGCCTGTACAGTGCAGGACGTATCAGGCAGAGATTGGGATGAAAAACGCTATATATACATATATATGGAGAGAGAGGGAGAGAGAGAGAGAGAGAGAGAGAGAGAGAGAGAGAGAGATACCGTGCCAGCGCTCCCCAGCGACAGGTGACTGAGCTGCTGGGTGAGGGGGCCCATCATAGAGGTGGGCTGGATGGACATGGTGTGGTCCATAGCTGGGGTCAAAACGGTCCCCTAAAGAGAGACGAATACGATTAGAGATGATTAAAGGGTTCTTTGCATCATGAAAGGGTTCTTCAGACACAAATACTAACATTACTAACTCAATGTCTCGTAATACTGGCCTTTTAAGAATTTTGTGATGCACTGAAAGACAGATGTACAGTATTTATATTACTTACTGTTGGCTGCATGAGGTACGACTGATGATGCATCCAGGAGGGACTGTGCACCTACAGTAAGAGAGAGAGAGAGAGAGAGAGAGAGAGACAGAGAGAATGATTATCATAAAACAGAAAACAGAGTCAAACAAATGTATGCTTTCATGTAAATGATGTAAATAAATGAATTTGCACATTAAGCTAATGCTGTAGTTGCCTATGTGGCCAAATATACACACAATGCATGTGTATATAAATAGCAGTACTTTTACTGGAGTTTAAGTCAGGCTACTCTACTCATCTCTTACAGGAGGGCAACAAATTAAGAGTCAAACAAACAGAGGTGGGATAGTATCCTAAACCCTCGTTCCAGTTAGAGTATCGTTGCATTAGTGAAATAATAACTGCAGTAGAATTCATAGCACCTTTCCAAAAAACAGCCTGAGTACTTGTACAAACATAACAGCTTAAAAACTACAGAGTAATAGACAGAACTGCAGTGAAACCAGAGAAGTTTGTCAGATACTAGATGGGCGTTACTGACTGAGTCCAAAATGCATGGGTTCCTACGGACACCTATCAGCACTAAGTAACAGCAATGCTAGCCAATCAGCATTTAGTAGCAAAAATGCCAACCAATCAGCACTAAGTAGCAACAATGACAACCAATCAGTGCTCAGTAGCAGCAATGCTAACCAATCAGCACTCAGTAGCTCTAAAAAACTGGTTCATGTGGAACTTCTTAGTGCATCCAGCATCTATCAGCATCGGAACTGAAGTCTGTACAGCTCTATTCTTCTCTTTTCAAATCTTTTTAGATTAAAATAAATTGCTAAAGCTCCAAAGTGAGAGGAGTGATCAACAGTGAAGCAGAGCAGGAGCTGAGCCAACGCCAGAGAATGAAGTTAAACCCCCAAAAGAGAATTAGGAGCCAAATGTTAATGACTAAGGATAAAGTAGATTACTCACTAATGCACCTGAGCAGAAGTAAAAGTATTAGCAATTTAAAATATCCATCAAAATGTACTTCAGTACACTGATCTGAGTAAACGGAACTACAATGATGCGTCTAAAAGTTAGTGAACTGGGAGTGTGTAGACTGCAACATGCAAGATGAGACACTTGAAACAGCAGACGTCTGTCTGAATGTAACAAAGACAGGCGGATCATATGGCTGAAGGACTGTCACTTATACTACATCCTATACTTACTGTACTCCTATACAGTGACAGTGACAATAAGGTAGAGTTTATGTTAGTGGTAATAACCAGCGTAGCTAATACAGTTATATCAGTCCTACTATAAATGTTAGGGAGGCACAATTATATCAGAATCGTATTGGTATTGGTAGCTATTTGCTTAAAATACATATATTGGAATTGGACAGATGATAAGATTTGACCAATAATTCAAACTGATATTTGCTGATGTAGTTATTCTGTGAATGAGCAGAACGTTAGAGCTGGTTTATGATGAGCCTGGCCACTTCCTGTTTCCCTCGTTATATCAAAGCACGACTGCAACACCAGTGGGGCGCACATAAGCAAGTTCTTAATGAATGGGGGTGAATTGAGCTAAACAGCTAAAAATGAAAAGTTAAAATAGTTTCTAATCACTTGCCCAGAAATTTCCTTTAATTTTAGAAAGCAAAATGACGCATTTCACTAAAGAATTAAAGAAAACTTACCTGTATGTTTCCTTTTTGTCTACAGCAAACGGAATAGTAGGAACGCTAACATTACTGCTAGTGAGTGCTGATTGTTTGGCTCACTGACTCATTGGCTGATTGCGCTTACTGACGTCATGAACACACATAAGACGCTGCTTTAAATTCCTTTAACTCGCGTTCCAAAGTTTTAAAAATATAATAGCAGTGTTAAAATGCTTTATGCTGTTCAGTGTTCAGGAAATAAATGTGTTCTTTTATATTAAAATGTTGAACCATTTATAAACTATGATTTTGCCCGAAGGCTCCATCTTCAACCATTCTTCTGGACTCGCTCGGGAGCGCCCTCTAGTGTTTGAGAAACCCAGAAGACGTTACAGAGTTAAAGAATTCTCTCTACAAGATCTCTGGCAATGCTACATTGGACACCACTAATATTTACATATATTCAGTTGACATCTGTAGATTAACATCTCTATTAGTGCAGACAGCGGTTCAAGGCTGTCTAGACAGTTGGCAAACACATTAACTGCTTGAACACACACTCTGAATGTTAAACGCTTTATTGATACATTGCTTCACATGCTACAAAGTTTAACTAGCGGTCACAAACAGTTCCTGTGTGTTTGAACATGCTAGGACTCGACTCACAGACCTGTCTGCCAGTAATTTAGGGTACAGTGAACTTCTGTTTTAAACTGCGTCTATTTCAGGGCATAATGTTAAATGTGACATATAATAATGAAATAATAAATATTAATAATATTGAAAAACCCTGGCATTTTTCCGTGCAAATATTTCTTAAACAAAAAAAAGAAACCTTGGAAAATACAGTGCAATGTAAGTTTTATATACACTTATGCATCAGCTTTTAGATCAAAGGTATCAAACTCAAAGGGGGCACCAGTCAGGTGCTATTTTCCAAGGGGGGGGGCAGGAATAGGGGTTGGGTTGGCGTTCAGAATGCTGGGAAACATGTGTCCCATAATTGTGTAAAAATATGCACTCATTTAAGCACATCTAAGTCAACATTTATTAACAATTTTTCTGTAACCACAAACAACAACTACTACTCGTAGTATTTAGTAGTAAGTACTAATTATCACTAATAATAAGTAGTAGTAAGAGTAGTTTTATACAGGGTGATTAAAAAAGATTAATCCAATTTCAAAGCGCCATATTTTTACAACCGTGAGGCGCCTAGGAACCAATCACATACCAATTGAGAGAGGGGGTCATAGAGTTTCTGACTGTCACCGGAAAATGGCTCCCTTCAGTCTGAGAGGAGATGACGACCCCTGAGCAGAAAGCGTTTCGCGTTCTCCACTTTAATAAGAGTGAGTCTGTCATATGAGGGAGTTTTTCCTTGCCACTGTCGCCAAGGCTTGCTCACTGGGGGCGTGGACCCGGATTCTTTGTAAAGCTGCTTTGTGACAACATCTGTTGTAAAAGGCGCTATATAATTAAATTTGACTTGACTTGACTTGACTTGGCTCATAACTGTGCAAGGTGATTTTCATCTGCAGTGAGCCTCCAACAGCTCAGAGCGTTCATCGTTGGTTCCACAACACTGGATGATCTCCGAAATCGCACTGAAAGAGCTGTGAATGCAGTGACACCTGACATGCTCAATCGCGTTGATGTTGTCCGTACAGCTGGAGGAGGTTCATATTGAGCACTTGCAAAATTACATAATAAACTTTATGCTCACTTAAACCATTTACAATTTACTGCATTATTCTGTAATGATTTACAAGCAAAATAAAATTTGAAATCGGATGAATCTTTTTTGAATCACCCTGTGTTTCAGTGTTTGATTAAATCAAATAAACTTGCATTCAACAGTACAATTGTGGGAAAATACTGACATTTCTGCTGAACATGAGCGAAGCTGTTGAGAGTGCTGACAGAGTGGTTTAAGTTATTATTCTCATTGGACTTCAATGATAATTCCATTCATTTCCAATTGTGGTGCACTGTACCTGCTACTGTGTGCTGAATGAATCCGCAAAGTCAGGTTTAACTAACTATCGCTCTGAATTAGAATAATAGCTGAGTTAGGTGCAGCTATATTACAGTCTGTGCAGCATTCATGCTGCGTCAGGTTCGTGTTTGAATGTGTCCTCTTGCATGCAGCTCTGTTTCTGCTTTTAACATCATAATCATCAGTCTGAGCTGATTTTATAGAGCTAATGTTGAGTAACCAGACACAGTGTCTAGTGGGTGAAGCTGGAAATATTTAGCAGCAGAATAACGATATTTAAATTGTATTTAAATTGTAAATTTGTGACTGGTCGGTACTTTGAAACCCCTGTTTTAGATCTAAAGATTATGAAAATCATGGATTGAGTCAGGTGTGTTCAATATTTTGACTAAAATAATGATGCAAAGAAGTATGGTATTTAAAAAAATACATATAAAATCAGTTCTGTCCCTGCAATGCTGCAGAACTGAGGCCGAAGGGAGCTGATCACTGACCTGGTAGGACGGGACTTGAGAGGGCATGTATGGGGACAGAGAGGTCTGAGCGATCATTCTGTTGGGAGCGATGCTGTAGGGAGACGAATAAAACCTGGAAATTAAAAAACACAAACACTTTTAATCTGCTGGTATCTTATGTATGTTACTGTGCAAATGTCAGAGACTCTTACTTTATATCATTTCCTGTCAAAATGGCCATTAAGTACAAATGCATCAAACAAAGAAGCTGAACAATGGACTGACCACCCCCAAGTCCAGACCTCGATATCACTGAATGTGTTCGGATTACTTCAGAAAATGAACCAACCAACTTCTAAGACTGAACTTTGGAGGTGTGTCTGCAGATTTCTTTGAGAAACTGAAAGTGAGTCTCCTGAAAAGAATGGAAGCTGTAAAGAGTGACACACTGAACACTCAACCAGCTGATATTAGATTAAGGTGTTGAACCTTCTGTGTAATTTTCTGGTAAACATGTGTACTTAATGACATTTGACTGGAAATTAAATAAATGCTGGGTGGTGTCTAACTTTTGCACAGTAATGTCTATAAAACATCTTATCTGAGTATTTTTCTGTATTTCTGTAAAGCACTTTATATATTTGTCAAATGCCTGACTATAAAGTGCAAAAGTAGTCTCATCTCTAATAAAACAAACTATACATATTTACAGCATAATTGACAAATATTTTAAATTGATTCACATGAAAAAAAATAAGTGTTTCACATAAATGTACTGACATAATTCAGAAATATCATATTGTCTTCTATGATCAAATAAGAATGTTATGATAATTGTAGATACTGAGTAATTTATAGTAGATACTGAATAATTCATAGTAGATGTTGAATAAATCATAGTACATACTGAATAATTCACAGTAGATACTAAATAAATTATAGTAGATGCTGAATCATTCATAGTAGATGCTGCATAATCTACAATAGATACTAAATAATTCATGGTAGATACTAAATAATTTAAAGTAGATACTGAATAATTCATAACAGATACTGAATAATTTATAGCAGACGCTGAATAATCCACAGTAGATACTGAACAATTCATAGTAAATACTGAATAATTTATAGTAGATGCTGAATAATTCATAATACATACTGAATAATCCATAACAGATACTTAAAAAATTAATTGTAGATACTGAATAATTTACTACATATTGGAATGTATTTAACGTTATTTAACCAGGATAAAAATCTTACTGAGATTTAAAATCTCTTTTACAGGAGTGTCTTGGCAAGACAGGCAGCAACACAAAACAAATTTATAATTAATAAAAGTTGCTGAATAATTTAAGTAGTTACTGAATAATTCATAGTAAGTTAGCTAATTCAGAATTAGTAGTTCTTAGTCTCAATACTGAGGAATAATGCTGCTGCAGTACTACCTTTGGCCACTAGGTGTAATCAACTCATACAAAGTTTACCGCAGACGGTGTTTGCTTGCGCATAGATCAGGTCTAAGCAGTCAAGTCTGCTTGATTAATGTAGGCATATTTCTAACAGATAATAAATAAAATGTGGCTTGGTGAGAGGTCCTCCTTAAACCCGTCAGCGAGCTGGATGATTGTCTACTGCAGAGCACATTAACAAGAACACTGTCACCATCTATAATACGCTGTCAGAATGAGTGAGAGTTCCTCGGTTATAGACAAAAGTCTTCAGTCTGCTTGGGTGCACACTGTGTCCTCTCTCTCCACTGTACTCACCCGTTCTGTAAGGCAGCTGGGTCATATGTTAGTGTCATTCCTCCCTGAGGGGACATAAAAGCATTATCATGATGGTGCGCAGACACTCAGACAGGTTACAGTTACTGTGCATATGAAACCTTTATTGACGCTGCACCAGGCATTCCAAGATAGAGAGACAAAACATAACACATAACACAGGACTCACTTTCAGTCCTGTCATATTATATGCTTTAACATATATAACATATCTGTGAAACCAAACACAGCATTTCAAGGGGAATTCCACCCACTTGTCTAAGTTTCTGCATTATTATATGGTCAAGATGTAAAGAAAGTCATTACTATCAGAGTAGTTTGGTTCTAGAGAAACTCAAAAGTCAGAATTGTTCATAGTGGTGATGATAGGAACCAGACGTCTGAAGAAGAATGTAATGCCTTTAAAGGCTCTTTTTAGGTTTTGGCCTATAAATTATTTCTTTTAAATACATTTATGGCAAACAAGTGCATTAAGCCGAATTCTAAGGCTGATCCCCCACCACTATTTTACTGTCATCAACATTTCTTATAAAACTCAGAAGACACGTGTAGGTCCACTGGTGGTTTTGGATAGCAAATAAAATGTCTATATTTGTGTTGTAGTCATGGCGACCCCTGGTTCCTAATCACCACCACTGTAAAGAAAGCCAAACCATTTCACACCAAACCCCTCTGAATCACTCTGTTTACATCTCAAACACTCAATCATGCAGAAATTTTGAAAAATCAGGCAAAATTCCCCTTCGAGCAATCTTTACATTTGAACAAGGCATTTAAAATGATTTTTTATTTTGTCAGTAGCTGTGTTTGCACTGACTTTGTGTGCATGTTGCAAGTAGTTCTGGGTATTGTCGCAATATTTTAAGTATCGATACCAATGCCAATAATTTCAATACCAATTTCTGAACGATACTTTCTTGATAACTCGTTAAAAATTATAAATTGAAAGTGGGTGTGGCTTAAACCAGAAATAAGTGATCACAAAGCGATATATATATCAGACAGCCAATCAGCAGTCTAAACTTTGGAACAAGCATGCCTATTGGCTCACGGATACTAAGACGGACTACTTAGGTCCTGAAATTCGGCAGTAAATATTTTTTTCATACTCAGTAGTACTGAAGTGAAGCAGTAAAAGTAATGAAATTAGAATCTAGTTGCAAGCAATAAAATAAAAATGTGTTATCAAAAAATATGTCTGACTGCAGCTTGTTTCCAAATTAACTTATAGTGATAAAAATGCTTTACATAATGATGTCATTACTGCAAAAAAGTTATTGTTTTACTTCATTAGATTTAAAAACGGCTTTTCCATTAAGCATTTCATGAAAAATAAAAAGTTACAGTTTCCATGAATCTTCCATAGTTTACGAATGAGGGCAACAAAGAAAGGCATAATATGCAGAAAATGGTTTAATATTGTGCAGTTTGTTATAATTATTATGTCTTGAAACTTAAACTTGTGTGTAATTGCATATTTTGTTCAGTCAAAAACATTTTCACCACAGTATTTCACAAGTTTAAGTATCAAGTGATAGGTTTTCCAAAAAATATCATTCAATCAGCTACATTGTCAAACACTTCAAATATAAAACACTTTTTCACATAAAGCCCTCACATGGAAACCTGCCTGGCCACAGAGAGAACTGCAGCAAATAAGAACAAAATTTGGGTGGAATTCCCCTTTAAAAGGTACAAAAGCATGCAGCTGGGAAGGCAGCACTTTGAAAAGACTAAACAAATTACCGTGTCAGCGTCTCTTGCCCAGGGCCGGCCGTTCTGTAGGTACTTTCCCTGGTTCTGCCGCTTCTTTTGTCCGCCGTCAGCAAACTTGCATAACAAGGGTTCTGTCGGCACTGAAATCAAGATGGAGAAGCTGCATTAATAATCCGAAACATAAGAAGACGCATCGCATTACTTCTAATGCCTTCAAAGTACAGCTGCACAATATTATTACTCTTTATTTTGACCCTGTCTGTAGCTATTTTGATAAAGGAGGCTACAATATGCAAACGATCCCTTCACTAATCACAGACATTCTTTGGGTGTCGGATGAATCAGGGCATTCCCATGATCCAATAAACATTAAATATGGTGGTCAAAAATACAGATCAATCTATTATTTCATCAAAGCAAGAGTTGTTTAGTGTGATGTTTATGATTTTAATACGCATTTTGTCTACTTTGTGCAGCCCTAACTAGAATATTAAACTGCTACTTTAATCACCCTCAGGAGGGAAATAATTAGCTCCATTTGAAATAAATATTTCAGTTCCTTTTTTACTTTTCAAATACCATAAATTTCAATAAGTGATGCCGACAAAACATACATTTCAAAAAGTGGTGGGGACAAAATCAAATGTTTCAAAAAGTGGTGAGGATAACGTGATACATTTCCAATTTTGTGTTGGGGACAAAATCAGATCTTTAAAAAAGTTGTGGGGACAAATTCATACATTTCAAATTTTGTGATGGAGTCAAAATGAGACATTTCAAAAAAGTGGTGGGGATGAAATCAGACATTTCAAATTTTGTGGTGGGGATCAAATCAGATCTTTCAAAAAGTGGTGGGGACAGAATCATATATTTCAAGTTTTGTGATGGAGTCAAAATCAGATTCAAAAAGTGGTGGGGACAACATCATACATTTCAAAATTTGTGGTGGGGCTAAGATCAGTTGTTTCAAAAAGTGGTGGGGACAAAAGCATTCATTTCAAAAAGCAGTGGGAACAAAAATCAGAGATTTCAAATTTTGTAGTGGGGACAAAATTAAAATTGCCTTTTTTAAAAGAGGTGTAAATACACGGTGCCTGAGCTGTTTAGCGTATGAGGTTTCAGAGAGATGTGAAAATTGAATAGAATTTAATGGTCATGCTGAATTAGAAACAGAAAAAGACAAATCAGATAAATCTCAGACACACAGACATACCTGGCACTCCTGGAGGAGTTTTGATATATTTGCCATTAAAATGTTGAATGATGGCTTCGCATTTTTCTGTGGATTCCATCCTTTAAGAGAGGAAAAAAAAAAGTGTTTTAGCAGCTGAACAGTAACTCAGTGAACAGTTCCAGCAGAAGAAGCTTGAGAACAGAACTGCCTGTGCAGGAAAACGTGTGACTTAGTGGTTTGCTCAGTTTAGAGGTAGAATGGCTGTATTTTGAGAACAGTTAAAACAGTTACATCACTGTGGGGCATTTTTGTGGCTCATTTTCATTTTCCTACAGCAGAACTGTGAATAATACTGTTCAATAACCAGACATAACCATGACGTGAAAACAGACAGAGTATTTCTTCAGTGACCTTAACACATATTACAGGACTAATGCACATCTGAACATGGAGTTTTCCCATCTAATAAGTAAAGCCATAAATAAATGTGTTCACAACACATCAGGACTTTTTCTGATCTCAAGGTGATTACGCCCCCAAAGGTTGCTTCACAACACTAATGCATAAAGCAGTGACAGCTGTAGGTGTTACTGTACCGTGCGAAGCCCACGCCTCGGCTGGTCCCATTAGCATCGCGAAGGATGCGTGTAGAAATGACCTGGCCAAAGGACTTCAGCATAGCCTCCAGCTCCTGCTCGTCCATCGACACCGGCAGATTGGAGATGTACAGGTTAGTGGGGTCCTGTTCCTGTTGCTGTGAGAAGAGAAGAGAAGAGAAGAGAAGAGAAGAGAAGAGAAGAGAAGAGAAGAGAAAACAGTAGAGTAGAAAAGAAAAGGGAAAGGTAAAGAAAAGTACAGAACAGAAAAGTACAGAAAAGACGAGAAGAGACAAAAAGAGAAAATTCAAGAAGAGAAGAGAAGAGAAGAGAAGAGAAGAGAAAACAGAAGAGTGGAGAAGGGAAGAGAATAGAGAAGAGAAAACAAAATAAGAGTTGAGAAATCAAAATTACTTTCATGACATCAAAACAGAAAATTTGGGGAGTTTTGGTATTAAATTGGTGCTAATGTGCTTTTACGCTCTTGAAAATAAAGACTGCTTTATGGTTCTTGGCACAGATGACAGGTTCTAGGAAAAACCTTAACCTTAACTGGTATAGAATCTTTACGTCATGTATAGATTCTCGAAACTTTAAAAAGGTCCTTCACATATGCAAGAGCTGCACAACATGCACAAGCACCAATCATTACATTTACACAGCCTCAAAAACAATCAGGCCCTTTGCTCAATACTAGCTTAGTATCAGCTCATTAATCCTCATATGAATCTTATAAATAAGTGAAAACAATGACTTGTAGCTTGTAGATGAAGAATAACACCAGAGTGCTGTTAATGAGAAATGGAAGAATCAATAAGTTCATTCTCCAGGCCCAGAGAATGTCAATATGCTGTTGACACTGGATCTAATTATCCAGTCATGTAGCATCAAATTGTGCACATTCATCAAATATTCAGTTTATAGATTTGGTCTTCGGCCCACCCTCCGCCCTGGGGCCTCCAAAAGACTTCAGATAAGAAACGACTGCAGCACATTCAAATTTCAGTCTGGCACTCGCACAGCCGAACGAGGATAAGAGGAAACATTTGAATGATGCACGGTTGACTTCAATTACAAATCTGTGAAGCAAATGAGTCACCTCAAGCAGGAGGCACCCGGCTCATGCTTTATTAATCCGAGATGCTGTGCAGCAGTGGATGTGCACGTTTTAGAGTTTCCCTGCTTCAACAAGCCCATTTCAACACATACACAGCATCTGAAGTTTGCTTCTTTAGTTTTGCACTGAAGCTACAGGGCTAATGTAGCTAAGAAGTAATGGAAGTCTATGGAAGCCAGTTAGTATGGTGCTAACTGCATGCAAATTATAACACGCTCACCTTGAGTAGTTCAGTATCTGTGTTTTCTGACACTGTATGACACAATGTAATCTATAAACATGGACCAAAGCATATTAGCAAAGCTAAAAACAGCAGCAGCCGAGCCTTATTTTGTTTTGAAGGTTACAGTGTCAGAAACCACTTAATCAAGTCTATTAGAGATTACCTGCAAGGGTATTTTTCAAATGTCTGTATAATTAAGTGGTTAAGAGGTAAACAGAGCCATTCAGAGTGGTTTGGTGTGAAATGCTCCGTTCTAGAGTCAGAACTGTTCACAGTGGTGGTGATAAGAACCAGACGTCCACCTCTAAAAGCTCCCTCACAGAATACACTGCCTGATGACACATTGTTGTACTATAGTTTTGAGTGTTTGGCCTTAAAATCCATTCATGGTGGAGGCATACATGCAGGGTGTAGCGAGGCAAAGTAGTCCCCAAAGAAAATATTCCATATAAAACTCAGAAGACACGTGTAGGTTCACTAGTGGTTTTGGATAGTAAATAAAATGTCTATATTTGTGTTGTAGTCATGATGACCCCTGGTTCCCATCACCACCACTGTAAAGAAACCTACAATCAACCATTTCATACCATTTCATTGGTTGATTGACTACATTTGGAGTAAGTAAATGTAAACTAGATTTGTCTCGAAACTACTGCTTTAATTAGCTGCATGACGAAAACATCTTTAGTAAAGACGGGAGGGGGGGGTCGTGTCCTTTCCAAGCATGACAGGAGGAGGAAGAATGCCAGAAGAGGAAAAGGAAGGGATGATAAAAGACAGGAAACATGAAGGCAACAGACTCAGGATTTGGGGGGGTGAAAGAGTGACAATAAACGTGAGGTACAGTAACCAACAGACAGATTCTGATGGCGGCTAAGAAGAAAGACAGAAGATTACAGAAAGCGTAAAGGACAGGAAGGGATGAGGGCAGGATGTGGGCTGTCTTGCACTCCTGTTCAACTCTCTGGGGATTTCCTTCGGTCTTTTCACTCTCGTTTTTTCTCTACTCCTCCCACCTACCTCTTTCGCTTCATACGTACACTGCCCTATCTGTGAAGTTTTCTTTGAAAACAGAAATAAACCACACTGGAACACCAATCCTTTGCGTCCTGCTTTTCCATGTTTTTGCTCCAATAAGTAAAAACATACTGTATATGAAGACAATGTTTGAATGCGTACAAAAATGATATCGCTACAGCATTTAAATAAGGCAACTTCATTCATTATTTGCAGCCTAAATGTTACATACGTACATAAATACTTGTTAAAGCACATAAAACTGAAAATGATTAAAGACAAAACTGATGCAAAATACTACATTATGGCTGGGGTGTTAAGCAACTGGGACAAATGATATTTATATTACACATAAATGCTGATTTATTTCCATTTTAAACCAAATTTTACAGATCATTAAGAAGCTTAGGACACTTCCCCTTTGTGTCAGAGAGGGCAACAAAGCCTTAATCACGACTAAACATTCCACTGAATTTAAGAAAAATCCTTTAAAGTACAATAAGCTATGTTTTCACACCCATCCACTCAGAGAACTATACACTTCAGCAGTAATTACAGCCACATGTTTAGGTCTTTACTCAGTTGCTAAAGCTGGATCAAAGAGAAACCAAACAGCTTCATCATTTTTGCTTATAATATATGAACTCAAAACATAAGACTCATTTTAATATCAAAGACGAAGCATGCTTGTTTTTGCTGAGAAAAAAAGAATTGCTTCCACATTGTTTGGCTTGCTTATGTATGCATGAATGCAAAAAACAAATAAAATGTACCAACCAATTACACTACCATTATCAATAACTGGTTCCAACTATTCTCAACCAAAACCTGCATGTTTATAATTCATTCATTCACAATACAATTTAATACAAAAAATACAAGTGTCCCAACAAATGTACGCTCTTAAAAAAAGGGTTCTTCAACAGTTCTTTAGTAAAGACAACAGTTCTCTACAGAACCATGAACACGCCTAGACCCCTTTGCATGCTTAAATGGTTCTTTGCATGGTGAAATGGTTCGTTGGATTGATGCAGAATGTGTTTCCATGTAGCACCAAAAGGGATTCTGCTACTGTTATGATGTCAAGCTTATAACAATAGAAGAGCCCTTTTTGGTGCTATATAGAACCATATACAACACATTCTCCATCAATCTTAAGAACTTTTACATCATGCAAAGAACTCTTTAATCATGCAAAGGGTTCTTTGAGTGTTCACGGTTCTATACAGAACCACTGTTTTAATAAGGAACCCTTGAAGAACCATCTTTTAAAGAGTGTAGTTATAGTAAAGAATACAGGCCTCTGGGGTTTGAAGGCTTAAACATCTCACATGGAACTATGGAGTGTTTAGCCATGTTCTCTGTCATAAGTCATATCACAGCATGCAGTGATATAAACAATGTGATATTGTCTGTATTTCGCAACTCCAATGGAACTCAAATAATCAGCCAGTCAGTCTTTTGGATCCTCTGTGTTTCCTCTGTAACTCTCGTCAGTGTCCTGGTTTATCCGTCTGTTGAGATACTGTTTATATCAGCTATTACAAACTGCATGCGTGCCTGAGCGCGTGACGCACATGTGGTTTTATCGTAATGACATCTGGAAATTAAAATAAAGCATGAAAGACGTACGTAAAAAAGGACAGACTTCTATATTTTAACATCTTTTCTCATCATTTATACTAACACCATGTAATAGATACTTACACACAGCATGCAGCACCCCCTGATTTCAGGGCTGCAACTGCTAAAAATAATAATAACAGAGAGATCTGAACTTTTTTCCCAATTTAAGCATTGCAAAAATGTGTGTGCTTGGTTTATAGTGGAGTTTTTTATTCTATTGTTATTTATATATTTCCAAATTCTGCAGTAGCTGCACTGTTTAACTTTGTATTTTCATTAAAGTGAGCCCTCGACTGCAGCTGGCTGTTTTAGGCAGGTCACTAAATCACACGCAGATTGAGGTGCAAAGTGTGTGCAGAGCTGTAGGCCAGCTCTGAACCCCAAAGCAGCCTAATACTGTTTTTAAACCATTTTTTTGTTTAAACTGAGCAGCTGGCAACTTATGCTCTTAACTAGAACTGGGCTGGTCAGCTAGCTAACAGGTAGCCAACAGCCTAAACAACTCTATCATTAATATCACAGGCTTGAATTAAAGCACTTACGGTATGATTAACTGTAAAACAGCCATATAAAAGCCTAAAAAATGTCACTTGAATTGCTTACGCACTTTAAATGTTCGTGTTTCCGTCAGAAGCAGCGTCAAACCCAGGCTGAATCCCAAACGGCTCCGTATTCTCTAAATATTAAAATAAAGTTTAGCATCTATAGCCAAATAGTGCATCATTTGTTGAATGTGGATGTGTCCCAAATGACTATTTCTTAGTTGTATTTTGCACCGTTGGGGTGCAGGATATTTAAATTCCTACGTAGTCCACTATGTAGGGAGCAGGGAGCCATTTGAGATTCAGCCCCAGCACGAGGAGAGGGGCGCCGCTGGATTGGTGCTAAATCAGACTCGCGGTGGTGATTTGGTGACCAAAAAGCGCTAATAAAGTGAAAGTTTTTGTATTAAACAGTGCTGTGTTATCATAAGTTCATTGTTATACCACAGAAAGTTAAAAAGTCATGAAATGATCACAATATACAGTGATGGGCGACTGAACATTCTCCTCATGCAGTGGTCCATGGTTGCTTGGTAACAATACCATACGATGAGTGAGTGAGCCCTCTCATTGGTTAGGACTTTCAGGAGCTGGACTGAAGGCCTTACATGTCAGATTAACTACCAACATAAT